TCTGTTGCTATGTGTGTGCATCATTGGTGGGTATGTTTGACGTGTGTGTGTCTGCAGCGATGACGAGCACATGTTGATCCAGCACTACTGCCAGTCTCTGAACCAAGGCTCTCCTCTCAGCCAGCCCCGCAGCCCCGCCCAGATCCTCATCTCCATGGAGACAGAGGAGAAGGGAGAGCTGGAGAGGGTCCTTAATGACCTGGAGCAGGAGAACAGGTCAGTGGATCCTGTTACTGTGCCTCACACTCCAGTCTACACAACTCGGCTTTGAATCTGAAAGCGGTCACATGACACATTTAACGGACTTTAGATTTGACCACAAGGGTTGACTAGAAAATCCAGATCTAGTCAGGGGACAAAACAACAAGTAACTGTCCCTGACGAGCATTAAGAACTGTTTCTTGGTTTTTTTTTTTTTGCTTTGCTCCAAAACTTAACCTTTGCTGCCTGAATCATCATCCTGTCTCTTTAACTTTATTTAAACTGAACTAACGCGCCATAAGTCATACGTAATGTAAATATGACCAATTATACAATGATGGCACAACTTTAAATCATTCATGAACACTAAGAAATGATTCAAGTCTTCTGTCGGTTGAAAGGACAGTCTGTAAAATGCGATGCCCACATCATACTCATTTATTCCTTTTCCACAGCAGACACAAGTGTGGCTTCATTTATAATAAGATTGTGATACATCTTATTTTTATTAAAATAAAAATAAGAAGTCTTCTTCTTTTGCTTCTGCCTTCACCTCGCTAGCTTTCACAAATCGTTCCCATAGCTTCATGGTATGGCTCATCAACTCATCCTCTGTACCTACGATAGCTCCGCACATCACCCTTGTTCTTGAAATTGCTTCCTTTTCCATTGCTCAGGCTTCGTCTTACTCTTCAGGATTGTGTTAAATAATCTGGTTGAAAGGTTCACTGCCCTCATTCGAATCCATCTGTTCCTGGCCCACTACCAGAGCTTGTAGTAGGAAGTGACCTCATTTCTGTTCATCTGTGCAGGAAACTGCAAGCAGAGTACGACCGTCTGAAGAAGACACACGACAGAAAGGGTCTTTCCCCACTGCCATCGCCCCCGGAGATGCTACCAGTGTCACCACAGTGCACACGTGATGCTGAGCTTATCGCTGAGGCTAAGTTGCTACGGCAACATAAAGGCCGTCTAGAGGCCCGGATGCAGATACTGGAGGACCACAACAAACAGCTGGAGTCCCAGCTTCACAGACTGAGACAGCTCCTGGAGCAGGTATGCACACATCCTGATTTTACTTTAACCACACTCCAAGTTCCACATTTCTGTGTTACCATTCTCTACCCAGTGGTGTTGGGTTCTGGGTCAGCCCAAGTTTACGTTCCAGTGGATAAAAAGGAAGTCAAGGAAATGGTCGGGTGTGTAGGACGAGTATGGAAATAATGCTCTGCATCTGGCTGTGATGCAGGGTTGCCTTCACAATGTCAGAGTCCTTCTCACAGAGTCCAACATTGATGCTGAGACTGTCGAACTCAGCAGTCAGTCACCACCGCAGTATGTGCCATAAAGGCAAAGAAAATGCTGCTGCCATTTTTGAGTTGTTCCTCCAGCGTATGCCTGAATATCCTCTGGACAAAGCTGACAGCAGAGGGAACACAGTTCTACTCCTGGCCTATGTGAAGGGAAACGCAAGCCTGTGCTGTTGTGAGGGGCGGGGCTCACCTGGGAGTAATCAGGGTATCATATTTCAGCCACCAGGTTGCATCCAAGCAGTTGCCTTCTAGTTATGCTTTGCAAAGAGAGCCCATAAAAACATCGCTGCCGCCACTGTGGGTGTCTACTGTGCCACAAGTGCTCATCAAGTTTGATCTGAACAAGCCGGTGAGAGTGTGCGACATCTGCGTGTGTCAGAACGCTGTGGTGTGGATGTCTTTCGACCTCTGGCAATTATTCAAGCACGCCAGGCGAAGGGACATCAGTAGCAGGACATGTTAGCAAGAGAATCGCAGACATTTACGGACCATTATCTCTATACTGTTCCAGTTTCTGAAAACTATTAATCTTTGTGTTTGTGTTTTTGGAATGGTGTCTCATCCAAACGGTTCAGTTTCGGTCTGACCAGACTGTGTTCTCGCAGTATTTCACAGGCTTGTCTAAATGTTGTTTAGCAAACATGGACTCCTGCATTTTAGACATTCATCCAGCTGATGGCTTTCTGGGGGCAAATGAATAAAAGAAATTAAAATCAATCATTCTGAGACCCAAACTCTTTACCTGAGGGGATACTGTACAGTTTTTGACTTTGGATCTCTTATCTTGTATATCGTATTGTCTACTTGCTGTTTATTGAGGTTTTCTTGCTAATAGTTTGACTGATTTATGGCCTGATTCATAAACTTTTTGTTTTGTGAATACCATCGTTTTACCATTTCCTGTGAGTATAGTGTATTTATGTTTTGTAATCAGGGTTTGGTTCTTTCC